GCGGGCTCTAGAGCACAGGCTCACCGGTTGTGGCACATGGGCTTACTTGCTCCACGGCATGTGGGATCTCCCCATACCAGGGATCGAACCCATGTTCCTTGCATTGGCAGGTGGATTCTCAACCACTGCACCACCAGGGGAGCCTCATCAATGACATTCTTAAGTGAAGATTTTTTTTCTCCTATGAGTTCCTAGTGGTGAGGACTACATATAATGATTATTTTGGAAATTGTAGATTCACATGCAATGGCAAGAAATAATACAGAGAGACCCCATGTACCCTTTATCCAGTTTCCCACAATGGTATCATCCTGCAAAACTGTAATACAGTATCACAACAAGGAACATTTCCATCACTACAAGAAGTTCTCATATTGCCCTCTTGGGATTGTCTTTTCTTACTCAGCATAATTCTGTTCAGATTCATCCAGGTTGTTGCATGTATCAACAGTTCATTCTTTTTTTGTGTGTGTGTGTTACGCGGGCCTCTCACCGCTGTGGCCTCTCCCATTGTGGAGCACAGGCTCCGGACGCGCAGGCTCAGCGGCCACGGCTCACAGGCCCAGCTGCTCCGCGGCACGTGGGATCTTCCCGGACCGGGGCACGAACCCGCGTCCCCTGCATTGGCAGGCAGACTCCCAACCTCTGCACCACCAGGGAAGCCCAGTTCATTCTTTTTTATTGCTGAGCGGTACTCCATGGTATGGATGTTTCATAGTTTCTTTAATCATTCACCTATTGAAGGTCATCTGGGTTGTTTCCAGTTTTTGTCTATTATGAATAAAGCTTCTGTAAACATTCACATACAGGTTGTTGTGTGAGTATAAGTTTTCATTTCACTGTGATAAATCCCCAGGGGTTACAACTGCTGGATACTGTGGTAGTTGCCTAGATATAAAAAAAAATCTACTGACCTATTTTCTGGAGTGGCTGTACCATACATTCCACCAGCAATGTATAAGTGATCAAGTTGCTCTGTATCATCACCAGCATTTGGTGTTGTCACCTCTTAATTTTAACCATTCAGATAGGTGTGTAGTGATTTCTCTTTGTGGTTTTTATTTTCATTTTCTTAATGGTTAATGATGTAGAACATAGTGCTCATGTGCTTCATTGTGATATGCATGTCCTCTTTATGTCTATTCATGTCTTTTGTGCATATTCTAATGGGATTTTTTTTTTTTTTTTGCTGTTGAGTTTTAAGAGCTCTTCATACCAGTCCTTTGATTGATGTGACTTGCAAATACTTTCTCCTAGATTGTAGCTTATTATTACATCATTTTTTAATTTTTTTTTTTTTTTGTGGTACACGGGCCTCTCACTGTTGTGGCCTCTCCCGTTGCGGAGCGCAGGCTCTGGACGCACAGGCTCAGCGGCCATGGCTCACGGACCCAGCCGCTCCACAGCATGTGGGATCCTCCCGGACCGGGTCACGAACCCACGTCCCCTGCATCGGCAGGCAGACTCCCAACCACTGCGCCACCAGGGAAGCCCTATTGCATCATTTTTATGTGGGTTTTTGTGGAACAAAAGTTTTTAATGCTGATGAGATCCAATTCATTTTTTTTCTTTTATGCTTTTGGTGTAAAATCTAAGAACTTCAGCGATTTGTTGAATGAGAGCAGTAAAAGCAGACATCTTTGCTTTGTTTACAGTCTTAGAGAGAAAGCATTTATTGTTTCACATTAAATATAATGTTAGCTGTGGGGTTTTGTAGATGATCTTTATTATGTTAAGGTAGTTCCCCTCTATTCCTGGTTTTCTGAGAGTTTTATTATGAATGAGTGTGGAATTTTGTCAGATGCTATTCTGCATCAATTGATATAATCATGTCATTTTCTTCTTTAACCTACTAATATGGTAGATTATCTTGATTGCTTTTTGGGTATTTACGAGCTTTGTGTTCCTGGAATAAACCCACTTGGTCATTGTGTGTAATTCTTTTTATGCATTGCTAGGTTCTATTTGCTAATATTTTGTTAAGAATTTTTGTATCTCTATTACAACAGCCAGGACATGGAAGCAACCTAAGTGTCCATTGACAGATGAATGGATAAAGAAGATGTGGCACATATATACAATGGAATATTACTCAGCCATAAAAAGAAATGAAATTGAGTTATTTGTAGTGAGGTGGATGGACCTAGAGAGTGTCATACAGAGTGAAGTAAGTCAGAAAGAGAAAAACAAATACCGTATACTAATACATATTTATAGAATCTTAAAAAAAAAAAGCAAAACACATACTCATTCTGAAGAACCTAGGGGCAAGACAGGAGTAAAGACGCAGACATAGAGAATGGACTTGAGGACACCGGGAGAGAGAAGGGTAAGCTGGGACGAAGTGAGAGAGTGGCATGAACATATATACACTACCAAATGTAAAGTAGATAGCTAGTGGGAAGCAGCCACATAGCATAGGGAGATCAGCTTGGTGCTTTGTGACCACCTAGAGGGGTGGGATAGGGAGGGTGGGAGGGAGACCCAAGAGGGAGATATGGGGATATATGTATATGTATAGCTGATTCACTTTGTTATACAGCAGAAACTAACACAACATTGTAAAGCAATTATACTCCAATTAAGATGTTAAGAAAAAAAAAGAATTTTTGCATCTCTATTCATGAAAGATAGGTTTATTTCCCTGTACTCTGTTTGTCTGGTTGTGGTGTAAAAGTATAAGGGTATTGCTAGCTTCATAAAACAAATTGGGAAGTGTACCAATTTTTTCTATTTTCTGGAAGATATTTTGTAAAATTTATGTTAATTCTTGCTTAAATATTTTGTAAAATCCTCAAGCAAAATCATATGGACCTGGAAATTTATTTGGGGGGAGTATTTAAATTATGAATTCAGTTTCCTTAACTGTTATAGTCTATTCCAATGATATATTTTATATTGGTTGAGATACAGTAATTTATGTTTTTGGAAAGGATTTGTCCATTTAATCTGAGTTGTCACATTTATGTGTATGTAGTTATTTGTAATATTCCCTTGCTATCTTTTTGATGTCTGCAGGGTCTGTAGGGATAGCCTCTCTTTCATTCTTTATATTGGCAATATGTGTCTTCTTTTTATCTTTGTCAGTATTTCTACAGGTTTGTAAGTTTTATCGATCTTTTCAAAGAACCAGTTTTGTTTCAATGATTTTCCCCATGTTTTTCTGTTTTTAATTGCATTGATTTCTGCTCTTACCTTTATTATTTCCTTCCTTCTGCTTGCTTTGGGTTATTTTTCTCTTTTATTCTAGTTCCTTGAGTGGGATCTTAGATTGACTTAAAAATTGTACTCTTTTTTTTTTTTTTTTTTCAGATAGGCTCTATGATGCAAAACATTTTAAAATTACATCATTTAAAAATATTTTAATTTAAAATCTTTTCATCTATATTAGGGTAAAATTGTATATATTTAAGATGCACAACTTGATGTTTTGATGCACACAGACGTTGTGAAATCATCACCACAGTCAAGGTAATTCACACAGTTACCTTCTGTTTTCTGATGAGGCCACTTAAGCTCTAACTTCTTAACAAATTTCGAATACATAGTACAATATTGTTAACTAGAGTCACAGTGCTGTACGTCAGGTTTTCAGAACTCACTATTTTGCGTGACTGAAGCTCTGTATCCTGTAATCAACATATCCCCATTTCTGCCTCTCCCCAGCTCCTGGAAGCCACCATTCTACTCTCTACTTCTATGAATTTGACTATTTTAGAGTCCATATATAAGTGAGATGCAATGTTCTGGCTTATTTCACTTAGCATAGTGTCTTTCAGGTTCATCTGTGTTGTTGCAAACAGCACAATTTCCTTCTTTTTAAAGGCTGAATTTTATACATACATAAAACATATATATAATGAACTTTGTGATGATTTTTCTTCTTTTGTTCTGTTAATGTGATGTATCACCTTGATTGATTTGCATACATTGAACTATCCTTGCATCCCACGGATAAATCCTACTTGATCACGGTATATGATTCTTGTAATGTGCTGTTGAATTCTGTTTGCCAGTATTTTATGGAGGATTTTGGCATCTGTGTTCATCAGGGATATTGCTCTTAAATTTCTTTTATTGTGGTGTCTTTGCCTAACTTTGGTATTAGAGTGATGCTGGCCTCATATGATGAGTTGGGAAGTATTCCCTCTTCTTCTATTTTTTGGAAATGTAAGAAGGTTTGGTATTAATTCTTCTTTGAATATTTGATAGAATTCTCCTGTGAAGCCATCTGGTCCTGGGCTTTTCTTTTTTGAGAAGTATTGGATCACTAATTTAATCTCCCTATTTGTTATTGATCTGTTCAGATTTTCTAAAATTTAACTCTTTTCTAATGCATGCATTCGGTGACATATATTTCTCTCTCAGTATTGTTTTAGCTATGAGACAAATTTTGAAACATACTGTACTATGTATTTTTTAAAATTTCCCTTGAGACTTACTTTTTGATCCATGGATTATTTAGAAGTATATTGTTTAGTTCCCAAGCGTTTGGAGATTTCCTGTTATTGATTTCAGTTTGATTCTTTTATGGGTCAGAGAACATATTTTGCAGGTTTTAATTTTTTAAAAATTTGTTGAGATTTATTTTATGGTCCAACATGTAGTTTGTCTTGGTATATGTTTTGTGGGGGCTTGAAAAATGTGTATTTTACTATTGTTGGGTGCACTGTTCCATAAATGTGAGTTACTTGAACATTTTTTAGAATTCCACTTTAATTTATCTATTATATTCTAGCTTTTCTAGTTTTTCCTGGGAGGAAGATTTATCTGCTACAAGCTAGTTCGTCGTAGCTGGAAGTGGAAGTAACCCATAAGCATGTATGCGAGTGTGTATGTGAATGTAACAGCATAGGTGGTACATGTATTCATGAGGTTGTGATTGATTTGACCAACAAATCCTGTAACTCTTACTGCCCCCGACAACTGGTCAGAGTAGAGAAGTTCTCACCTAAAATCACAGCTGTTATTAGTTGTGACTTGTTTTGTCTCTTCTCCAGGACTTCATGTCATGTATCGAGAACTACAGACGAAAAGGACAGGAGCTATATGCATCTCTATACAAAGATCATGTACAGGTAAGAAACAAGGCCATTCCCTTCTCTGCACAGTAGACCAGAACCTACCTTGAACCTGAAATAAAGAATCATAAGAGCGTTTGGTTTAAATTCTAAATTGGCTAAGCCAATAATTGGTCATCAGTGAGTCAGTCCTACCTTCATGACCTGTGCCATGGGATTTGGACCCACACTGTCAGCAGCTGAGGAGATAGGCAGTGTTTCCATCCACTTATCTACTCATTCATCCAGTGGGCACCTCAGATCCTGTGCTAGGAGCTAGGGGCACGATTGTAAACACAGCAGACGTGGGCCTCACTCTCGGGTAGCTTACTCTAAAGGAGAGTTAAATAAGTGCACAGATAAATAGATCATTATAACTTGGAAAGAGCAATAGACAGGGAAAATACAAGTATAATGGGAGATTATAACAAGGGGAAGACTTTAATTTGGGCAGATCAGAGGCCCTCTCCAAGGAATTGATCTTTAAGTTGAAATCTGAAGAAGGAGGAATATGGGCTAAAGTATTTTAAGGAAGTGGTTTTGACTAAGGGGAGGGAATGTGTGAAGCTCCTGAGTCGGGAAAGCACTGGATGTCATCAGTTAACTGGAAGAAGAGGAAGTGACTGGGATGATCTGAGCTGGGAAGGGACAAGGGTGAATGAAGATGAGGCAGGGCCAGAGCAAGCAGAGTGGCTTGCTGCCACCGTAGGGGTTTGGCTTGTTCTCCCAAGGACAGTGGGTTGCCACTGATGAGGGTAGATTTAGATGTTGAAAACCTCTCTCTAGGAGTGATTTCTATACAGTCTAGGTAAAGAGCACTGGCTGTCATGCCAGGGACATCTCTATTTGAATCTCAGGTCTGCCCCTTCCTAGGACTGAGCCTAGTCTGAGCCTCAGGGTCCCCATCTTTAAGACAGGATAATACTGCCTACCCGTAAAGATTAAAGAGTGAGTATGGAACACCTAGACAGTGGCTGGCAGGGAATAGATGTCCCATATGTGGTTAATGAATGGCTAAGAAGTTCATTTTTAGGTGGTATTATTGATGTTAACAAAAATTTTCTAAAATGATTGCTAGTAATAGAACACAACAATAGAATTAAAACTTCACAAATTATATTTTTACTTTACAGTTTCTCTGTGCCAAAGCCTTGCTAGGTGTAGGAAAGGCAGAGATGATAATGGTACTCCTCTGGTTGAAGGTTCTTAACACTCCGTAGAGGGACCAAGAGTAAAGAAATTAAAGCAGGGTGATAAGGCCAATACTAGGATGTTGTACTACAAAGAGAGGAGCAGTGGGGTATAAGGAACCATTGGGTGTGCCTGGGGTAAGGCGAGGTGTGAAGGAATGGTGAAACAGTAGTCCCCAAGTTCAAGGGAAACAGAATAGGCTCTGATCAGCTTAAGCCAAGTAACCTGATCCAGTTCCCTCCATATGTGCTTGTTTGGGAGCCCACAACGTGCCCCCACGAATAGGGATTTGTGAGATGCCCAGCGTGCACCCCAGAAACATACAGACTAGCGACACAGCCTCCCAGGCTGTGCTACATAAGGAGGTGGGCAGTTTATCAGACATGCCGGGGGGGAGAGGCAGTTTGGGGATAGGTGTCCTGCTGGCTTACATTTGCGTGTTATCTGCGCCCCTTGGACAGGACCTCGCGTGTGAGTGCCTTACTACTTGAATTCACCAACTTCATTCAGGACTAGCAATATGGCTAATAAATTCAGCTGCCATTGGGGGAAAAGTAAGATGAATCATTTAGGATTGCATCCTTTATTTAGGGATATCCCCATCACGCTTGTTCCATTTCAAGACAGAGGGTGTTGTTTATCTAAACTATCAAATCAGCATCTAGTCAAGAGTTTGACCATTTCTCTTCTTATGGTTGGAAAAGCCTGGAAGATTTGGTCATGGCTAGGAGAAATGTGCTCTGTGGTAACTGGTGGATTTCTGCTGAAATTTGAAAAACTGAAGGTTAATGGGGAAGGACAGAAGAACCTCGGCAGAGGCTCTGAGCCCATAAGGCAAGGGTCCAGCCTTCTGGAACATCAGTCTGGCTTATTTTCAGCAGCGGGCCTGACTGGGGCTCAGAGAGTACTTGAGAAAGTGGGACAGAGTTTTACTGTTGATTGAAGTATTTTTGAGAAAATCAGCATTTTGAGGCTAATCCATGAGGATACTTTCCAAGTGTTTAAATATTTTAGACAGATCGTTTCGATGTTTAAAAGAATGCAGGTGTTATCACCGTCTGCCAGAGACAATGGGGTCTGGAGTGTTCACCCCGCTTTCTTTTAAGGGGTGTAGTAGGCTTTCCCGACGAAGGCCCCACTCCGCTTCCAGAGAAGTGAAGTCCAAGTTCTGGAAAGAAATCAGCCTTGTGAAATATGCCATGTTCTTCAAGGACAGCTTCTCCTAATTACACTCCGCGAGGTCCTTCCAAGAGGGTGGAGATAATGAGGTTCAAGGGCCCCCGCCCACACGGCTCTCAGTAACAGGTTGCGTAAGACTTTTCCAACTGGGCATTTTACTTAACCTGAGAGGTCACTGGCGATGCAGGTGCTCACAGCATGACAAGATAGCGTCACCCAGTGCCCTGGAAGCTAACCCAGGCATCATCAGTATGCCTCATCATCCCATCACCAGCAAATCGTGCAGTTCTGATATTTAATCTCCCCAATTTCCCATCACTCCAGAAGTGCCGACGAAAACAGGTGCCTCTGCTCTGGCCCTGCCCAGATGCCCCTTTGCCATTTCCAGTTACATTTGTTCTCTTCTCTGTGGTCCGGCTGCTCTGGCTCTGCTCTGTGATATATCCAGGCCACCTGTTCTTATACTGGGTCCTCATCATACCTTACAGACACGCCTCATTTTGTCTGTATTTTTTAAAAAAATTACAGCTTTTACTGTTTAAAGTTCTATGCAAGATGCCTTCCACCCCAGAAATGGCCTTTCTTTTAGTGTGTGAGGGGCATTGCTCTGTCCCCTCTCTTTTGGGCTCTCTGGGGGCCAACAGGCTGTTTCCATTTCTTGCTCAGTCTCTGTATATCCATTACATTTTGGTAACAGCTCTTTCAGATGTAAGTATCGGAAACTCAACTCAAACTGGCTTAGGCAACACACGAAATATTTTGAAAAATCCAGGAGAACATCACAGTTCAAGAAGAGCTGGATCCAAGTATTCAAACTCTGCTTTAAGGAATCTGCCTCCTCTCTCCCTCTCTCTCTTTTCTTTCTCTCTTTTTCATACACACACACAAACACATGTTCACACAAACATTAAACACACAAGTGTATGAGATTACTAATATGTTTTAGGCAACGAGGCACATGGAGGAGAGAGCATTTGAGGCTGGCATGAACTCATGCTCTGCTCCCCAGTCTGTACATCCTGGAACCAGGCAGGGCTCATATAAAGGGTGGGAAATTATGTAACTTGCACAAAGGGACTGTCTCATCGCTGAGAGGCCTGCCTGTAGGCTGGGTATGCCTCAATGCAGATACACCAGGTGCCTTTTCCTGATGCACATAAGGTTGGCCAGCGCAAGGTAAGCAGCCCTGATCGTGTACACATCCGCCTCTCTGCAGTCTGCTCTATACGGGCTCTAGAGACAACCAGTTCCAATCCCAGAGAATGATGCTCAGTAGCCCATCCTACAACCATTCATCACCCACTGAAGCCAGGGCTGGAGTCAGCTGCACCCCAGCACCGGGAACTGAAAGTAGGGACGGTCTGGTTGCCAAGAGGAAAGTCTCAGTGATGCTACCCAAGAGCTTCTATTCAGCCGAGAATCATAGCTGCCTCTAATACACCAGCATCCCTGCCCCTGTGTCTGGTGTGGCATTTGGCCCACTCGAGGTTTGGACTGAATGGGGACCTTACCTTGTGCAGAAGCATGGGCATTACAGGACACCTTGCGGGTGCAGGAGCTCAGGACTTTCGCTTATTCAGTCATCTCATGTCCTTTGTCTTGGGACCACATACAGCCTTCCATCATGGACTAAACAATCATTCATCTCTGAGGGATGAATGAGGGATCTTATCCCTGACACACATCTGTCTAGCTGCAGATATGCAGGCAACACGTTTGCCCTGTGATGAAGACTCAGGCAGCTGTGAACCTCCAGCTTGCATAGGTGGAGCCTTAGGGTGGAAGGGATGCTCTTAAAAGACTAATTTGAAACCCCGGATGAACAACCCAGTAGCTTGGGATTGTCCGTCCTCTGTGAAGCTCAATGTGGAACTACAGATGCAGCAGCAACCTCCCAGGAGCTGAAATATTGTCCCCAAACACGTGTTCATTCCATATAACCAAATCCCTATAAAAGGCTTTGGATAGTCATTATTTTTCTGGAGTTTTTTATTAAATAATTGGCGTACTTGTAAAATGCTATAACTATTTAGGATATGAATTTAAGAACTGTGGAGAAACAAAATTATCTTGTTTTGAAATAGAATTTGCTTTATTCACAATAATAATACTAACTGCTTAAGCTGGGTAAGGCACCGTATTAAACTCTGGAAAATATTGTCTCATTTGATCCTTACATAAACCCATGGTTTTATTACGGTGGTAATATTACTAACTGAATTTGACTGGTGAGGATGTTAAGTCTCCTTCAGATTAAACTGCCAGTGAAGAGCAGAAACATTGTGGCAGCCCAGGTTCATCTGACACCAAAGACCAAGTACTTAGAACTATACCATCTCTCATGTTTTCGTGAGACTTTTCAAGTTCTGAGAACGCTTTTCCCATTCAAAATGGTCTAGATCTAAGTCTGCCAGTCTTTGAAGTAATACTGGCAGAAATCACGACTTAATGAAGTGATACCAGGGCCCTAGGAAAGGAATCAAGCACGCAGGCTGAAGTGAAGGCTCTGGAATTAGACAGGCTGGGTTTCAGTCTTAGCTTGGTCACCTGTTGGTCCTTGGGGAAGTCACTTCTCCTCTCCTAGACTTGGTTCCTTCATGAGGATAATAGAAAGTACTTACAAGTTCCAAGACTCACTTATGGTGTCATTGTGTAGAGGAAATGAGATAGAGCAGGTGAGAGGCTCAGCCTCGTACATGACGATGAGTTTCTTTTCTCTTTATGTTACTTTTGTGAGGTCTGTGCTTCTTGTCCTTAGCACTTTCACCTTTCAGTTTTCTGAAAAATTAAAATGTAGGGCACATACCATCAAATATTTGAATAGTTGGAAAAGTTCACCCTGCAGACAAAGTTGATTCTGCTGTCCAAACTGAATTGAAATGTTTCCTTGATAGATGATGTAGGAAACTTCAATGTGGCACACAAAAGCAATTTAGGGGTGTCGATGTATTTCGTAAAAGGTTTGAGTTATACTCTAGCAGAAGGTATAACAGTCAAGTGCTATGTATGCAAACTATGAGGATTTCATAGATATTAGGAAGGATAATTTTCATTAGCATCAAAGGTTTTAGCTTCTTTGAACATTCTCACCACACTTCCAGTCCAGACACTGGAAGGAGGGCTTTCAGCATCATTTTGAAGGGTAGGGGCTGTGGTGAGGTTCTGTGTCCATTCTACCAAATAGCCGTCCTATTCTCTGATGAATAGCATGGGGACCTTTGGGACCTGCTACTTTCTGCACAGCACCCAGCAGTCACGAGGCTCTGTGGGCCAAAGGGCAGAGGGTTTTTTTTCTCCTCGAAGCTGAATTAAATGGTCTCAAAGCTGAAAAACTGATTTCTTCTCCTGGCCTGGTCCTGGCTCCAGAGAGTACACCCTGAAGGTGCTTGGAGCTGCCTATAGAGGTGATTTTCCTCAGGCAATTATGGGGGGCTTGGTCTGTTCACCCCAGGAGGTTTGGGGCCAGGCTGGTGAGGAGATGTGTCCAGAGGTGACGCTGTACTTCTGCTTCTCAGAGGCGGAGATGTGGCAGAATCAAGGCAGCCAACGCCTGGGCCAGGATCCAGGAGCAGCTTTTTGGGGAGCTGGGCTTGTGGCGTCAGATGGCAGAAGCCACACCCTGCTCCCGGTGGGAACTGGACTGGAGAGAAGGACCAGCTCGCATGAGGAAACGTATCAGACGCTTGTCTCCGCTGGAGGCCCTGAGTCGAGAAAGGCTCAAGGTAAGAATTAGATGCAACAAGACAGGATGCTTCCAGACAGGCAGTGTATAGGGAGGTGTCTCCTTAGCTTTTCCATCTGATGTTGTTTCCACCAGGAGTGCTTTGGCGTGGACAGATAGGAGAGATAATGCGTGCAGTTCACTGTAAGAGTGCTGTAATGCGTTCTTGGTGCTGTTTAACAGAAGGAAAGAATCAGTAACTCCCCAGGTACATAGAAGGGATGCTATAACTACAGCCTGAATGAATGCAAAAAATAAGTGAGTGAGTGGTTCATATATACACCACTGACCCAGTACCACGCTGACATCCATAAAAGTCCATTAGAATGGTCTGGATGCCAGCGTTTGAAAAGAGCCACGTGATGGGCACTGTCTCTTGTACAAGTTATGTGTCATAGAGCAGTCATAGCCAGCCCTTCTATGGGTATTACTGTGCAAGCAAATCCCATATCAAGTCTTACAATGGAAATATCTTGAACTCAGCTATTTCTGCAAGCTTGAGCCAGTGACCCGCTTCGTCCAAATGACACTGAAGCAGCGTTGGATTCCCAGGCAACGGAATCTGGACAGTCCCCAGGTGTTTGCTGTAATGAAGCTTGAACTCTCTGTCAGACTTACATTTTTGCCTTTTAAATGATGAGGAACCGTCCTTGGCTTGGTAGTGGATACAGAAGAATCTGTTAATAGCATTTCATGTCCTCATTGAACAATTCTGCTTTAAGATGTTCTGAAAAGCAGCCTTCCCAGACCCTGGAACGCAAGACATTTCCTTCTGCATTCATCCTGAGTTACAATGTTGGGCTTCTTCTCTAGTCTGTAACCTCAGAATCTTTTACCCACATTAAATCCTTTATAAAACCTAATGAAAAAATTATATTTCATTTATTCAGTAGACGTTTTAGTTTTGAGTGTATTGTCTGTAAACATCTGATGATATATAGTATTTTTCCCTCAATACATTTCTTAGGAAATGGAGGCAGGAAAAATAAGCCTGCCCATGGTGCTGATGTCAAGGCCGAAGGCTGGCTGTGGAACCTAGACTCTGGTCTCTTGGGCTGTCCAGCCCCAGACCCTGTCCCTGGTCCCCTCTCCAGGGTGGCCCATACCACAGACAGCCAGGATACTCTCTACTCCCATTTGACATAATCTTTGGTAATTACTGTAAATCCTACTTAATGGAAGATTGTGGGTTTTTTCCCCTTTGACTCAGGAACATTAATACTTGCATTTTATTGTGGTCCTTTAGGATTTGGCATTTTGCTCCCCTTGCCTTTAAGTCTTGAGTGTATGAGTGATTTGAAGGAGCCATATGCATGTGTGTGTATGTGTTTGTGAATCTGTGGAATGGGGGGGTGGGGCCCATAGGTATCCAGGATTTAATTTCTCTTTCCTCTGGTTTTATTTCAGGAGAGTCAGGACAGAAATGGTGATATTTGTCAGTTAAATGCTGAAAACCAAGGTATTCAATTTATCTGTATTTTTATTTAACAGTTAAACCAATTCTTGGTTTTATTTAACATCTCCTTAAAGATATGAAGTTGATATATTGTGGGAAGAAAATGCTGCACGTCTAGAGTAGGGGGTGCAAGGCCTTTCATCACTCTGCTCTCCAGAATGAAGAGGGACCCATTCCAGACCTGAACACTCCACTGGGGGAAGAATTTTGTATTTAGGTTGCAACAGTAATAATTTTTTTCAGGGAAACTATCCTGTCAGTTTGCTATATGAGGGAAACCTCAAAAGTGCCCCCCCAAATACTAATACATGTTCAGTATGTGACCCAAAACACCTAGGAGGAAAATAGGAAAATATTTTAGAGCAAAATTGGATGGGATAGACATTTAATACTTAACACTGAATTCTCTGATTGTGAAGATAACAGATATGATGGTCATTGTTATTTCTCCAACTTAAAAAAGCCCTTTGAATCATTGTTGATGTTTATGCTTACCCTTTGTGTAATACTCATGGAGGAATTTGGTTGAGTTGATATGCTAAAAATCTAGTTTATTTTCGGAGGTCATTTTGGCCCAAACACATCAAATACATACCAAACACACACACAGACACATACACTATATTTCAGATTTTGTGTTTCTACCAAAGACTCTGCCTTTTGTTTCAGACACTCTCTGTCTGTGAGTTTCACTGTATCCTAGGCTGCAGCTTATATCAATCATATCCTTAACCAAGCGACCACTTCCTAGAGCTGATCAGACTTGTCTCACTTAGCGCCTTAGCACCGGATTTTGCGTGGAGCTTGCTGTCTTGTCAGTCTGCAGTAACAAAGCCCAGAAGTGAGGATCTTGAGCTCTGACCCCAGGTTGATTTGGGGAGTCCCACTTGGGACTTGGGATGACAGTGTAACACTCATATTTTGGCTTCTCTTCTTTCCATCCCAAGCCCCATAACCCTAAGATCAGAAGGAGAATCTGCCTGCTCTCCCTCTCAAAATGGGTGGCTGCAGAGGGTACAGTGGCAGAAAGCAGGTGTTTGATTTTATGTGGACTAGGGCCATGGGCTGCAAAGTCACCTCGTCCCCTATATGCAGGGCCTCTGGTCACCTATGATCCCAGGCCTCCTCCATGTTTCCAGCATGGACCCCCAACTCCCAGTAGGGAGCTCAGTCAAAGAAGAAAGGGCTGTGATTCTTCACCATGCCTTCCTGGGTGCCTATATCTACACAGTGTTTTCTCTGCCTGAGGAAAAGCCTCTGATGGATGTTGCTGTGAGCAGCAGGCACTTACATTCATCCAAGTGTGAGGTTCCCAGGTGGGGAGGAGGTCAAAGAGATGAGCATCTTGCCACAAAGAAGATGTCCAGTAGCACCCTGACCTTCCAGCCATGTGCTGCTCCACGCAGGTGGACACCCAGGACAGGGTGGAGGAGAAAAATCTAGAGATCCACACAGGTATGTACTTAGCTGGCACCCAAAGGCACATGCACAGGGGTGCATCCTTTGGAAATAAGTCTAGATGTACACACAAATGATTGCAGCACAGTGGATTTTGGTAGTGTAGAAATAGAAACTAGTTGTATCTCTAAAAAATAAGAGGTGGGGCTTCCCTGGTGGCGCAGTGGATGAGAGTCCGCCTGCCGATGCAGGGGACACGGGTTCGTGCCCCGGTCTGGGAGGATCCTGTGTGCCGCGGAGCGGCTGGGCCCGTGGGCCATGGTCGCTGGGCCTGCGCATCCGGAGCCTGTGCTCCGCGACGGGAGAGGCCACAGCAGTGGGGCCCGCGCACCGCAAAAAAAAAAAAAAAAAAAAGAAGAAGAGGTGAGTTGGGTAATTATGGAAGAGTCACACAATAGATTATTACAGCCCCTTAAGTTGCTTTCTAAGAACTTTTAATGGAATGGGAAGTGCTCATGGTGTAATCTTGAGCAAAACAGTTAGAAAAGAAAAACTGTAAATTCAGTGTAATTCTTACCATGCCAGAAATTACGCCATGTGTGTCCCTATACGTGTATGTACAAAGAGGACGTGGCCAGGGAGGACAAACAGCCTAGAGATAAAAAGATCAGCCTCTGGACTCAGAGGGACTTGGTTCAGATTCGGCCTCTAGCTCTTGGTAGCCGTATGACCTTGAGCAAAATAATTAGCCTTTGTCAGTTTCTTCATTTGCAAAGTGAGGATGGAATGGACTCTACAACCTGGGTAGGACTGGATGAAAAATGTCATTCAAATATCCAGCACAGAGAAGGTGCTCACTAAACAGAGCTGTTGTTATTAGCACTCTCTCTGGGCGCACGGGTGATACTTGTTTTATTTCTCATTTTCAATTTCTCACAATTTCATGGGTTTTCCAAGTTTTTTACATTAAGAAGATAGTATTTCCATAATTAGGGAAAAAAACACCCACCCTTGAAAGAGTGAACAGGGGACCTCCCTGGCGGTCCAGAGGTTAAGACTCTGCACTTGCACTGCAGGGGTCGTGGGTTTGATCCCTGCTCAGGGAACTAAGATCCCGGCATGCCGCCTGGTGTGGCCAAAAAAAAAAAAAGAAAACAAAAAGTGAATAAAGTGAAGTTCAGAAAAAGCAAATCTTGGGTGACCCTCTGGGACCCTCTAGGAAATTGCTTTACTGATTAACGAAGGTGAATTTGAAACATCCCCTGTGGTCACTGGAGAGCTGCAGAGCAGCCAGGCCCGGGTACATCTTCCCGAGTGAATCAACCTGCAGGTGTGTTCACCACATGATAGGGTCAGAGGGGTGTGTCCACTTTCAGAAACAGTGAGGGACACGCTGGGATCCACATCATTCACGGCTGCCCTGAAACCTTGCAGTTCCTCCCAGGGACTCGAGCCCAGGCTGTGCACTGTCCCTCGTGACTCCACGTGGCTCCTGCACGAACCACATGTCCCTTTTTGCTGCTGCAGATGAAGTGACACCAAAGGAAGCTGAGAGCGAGAGAGATGAGGCAGTAGACTGCACCCGGCTGACCTTCTTCCCCGCCTTACATGAAAGCCTGCACTCTGAAGATTTCTTGGAACTGTGTCGGGAGAGACAAGTCATTTTACAAGAGCTTCTTGATCATGAAAAGGTAACACAGCCCATCATGATTATTCTTTAAAGATTATCAGACATGAGAGAACTAAGCTTTCTGCACTCACATGGGAGGTGATATCTCCATTCACCATAAAAAAATCAATGAGCAAAAGCGACGGCATGCTCCTAAATTTATGGGCCCAGAGCAAGGGTGCAAATGCCCACACATCTTGCATGAAAATGTTTAGAAAATATAAATCAAGCTAATAAAGTGTTAAATGAAATATGTTCTAATGTCCTATATTGACCTTTATAATAACCTGGGGGGCCAGTTTCAAATTTAGAATTCTTGACCTTCTGGTAGTTCAGCACCTTGGCCCCCTGCTCACAGCCTGACCACTTGAGGGATCCATCCCATGCCTGAGTGAGGGGCCCTGGTGGATGTGTTTGGACACCTGACCCATATGTCCCAGATGTCCCCACACTCCTCACCTTGAAACCAGCTCCCCTTGGCCACCACTCAGGCCTAGAGGAAGCACACTTGTGGCACCTTCAGCCCTCAGAAGGGTGGACCTGGAGATACAGTATGCACAGCCAGGAGGCAGGCTGGACCAGTTAGCAGGGAAATCCATTGTTGCGGATGCCTGGAGCTGGATTGTGGGAGCCCAGGCTCTTGGCGTGCATGCATGTCCCCTGGGTATGACTGGAAGAGGGTCAGAGGGTCCCCCTGAAGTACAGGAACAGGGAAGGGCCCTCTTACACAAGTCTAAGAAAGTATGGAAGATGAAGCACATGTCTTAAAGTAAAACGGACCTGAGCTAAAACCCCCAACTTGGCCACATATTAAATGGCCTGCTACCTAACCTTCGTGAGCCTCAGTTAGTTATTCTCATCTTTAATATGGAGTGCACGGCAACCATTTCACAAAATTCTCATAAGGCTTAAATGGGATAATGGAAGCAAAGTGACTAGCATAGCGCCCAGCACACATGAGGTGGCTCATTAAAGACTAATTCTCTTCCCTTTCCAAAGGTTGAGTGGTTTAAGGGCTGGGTAGACTTCCATCTGTCTCTTCCATCAACTTCTGTATGGGATGTAAGTGAAGAAGATGCCCCAGCAAAACAGAGGAGCAGGCAGGGCGGGGCTGGCAAGACATGCAGGGGCTACCCAGAGATGAATGCATGAGAGCTGAGGGCTAGTCTGGCTGCAGGGTGGAGGAGAGTGGAGCTGAACTACGGGCCACTGAGTAAGCAGCCTGGGTATCCAGGAGCAAGTGACAAGCTCCGAGAGCTTGTGATGGGTGTGAGCAACGTGCAGAAACCGAAGCATGTCCTTTCCAGGGGAAGATTCTTTGCAGAGACTCCTGGAAGGTGTCAAACTGGGATTTACTCCTTCCAGGGGTTGGGTAAAAGGGCTGGCTTGAAGTGCATTGGCCAAATGGGTGACTAGAATTTCTGCCGAGTGTTTAGCTGCTTTCAGATTTGGTTAGCAGTTCAATCAAAACAATTCTGGAACAACAAGGTCCTTGTACATGCTGAACCCACAGCTTTCAGCCAGAGAGCACATTTGCAAGTCCCCATCACACCTCACCACCATGCCTTTGCTCATGCTGGTTTGTCTGTCTGTGGTGCTCTGCACGCTAGACTCCTAGCAGCTGACTCTCCAAAGCCCATCATGACTGGTCCCCAATCTGAAACCTGGAGAGCTGGTCTCTCCCTCATCCCTGTCTCTACTGCCCACTGCATCGCCACCTGCCCTTGCTCCTGACATACAGGCTAACCTTCACCACTTCTCCTTCTGCCTCTCTCACTCTGCTGATGCTCCTTCATGGAGGGACCCCCAGGCGCCTAACCTCAGGCATGCCTGGAGAAGCCTTTCAGTAAACACCGATGAATGAAGATTTATTATATTCACGTTCATTTTATTTTGATTATGGAAGTAGTGTAGTCTAATGTGTGAAAGTTTAAAAAATGGATATAAAACATGACATATGTAACATAAGCATATGTATTTATGTATGTGTGTATACACAGCCACAGCGTCCAGCTGCCAAGTACTAACAGCTGATAACAGCCTGAACATATCATATATGTTCATATAGGTAAATGGATATTTAGTAAATGCCTAGTCCATTGAAAACAGCTAAGAGATCAATGCTTTCTTACTCTTAAAACGTTTCTTTGCCTTATGCCCTTAAAGGATCATGTAAAGCAGTGATTCTCAGCAGGGGGCAGCTTTACCCTGCGCGCCGCCCCCCCCCCCGGGACATTTGCCAATGCCTGGAGACATTTTTAGTTGTCATGACTTGATGGGGAGGGGTTGCTACTGGCAACTAGTGGGCAGAGGCCAGGGATGCTACTTCACACCCTACAATGCTCAGAAGAGCAGAAAATAATTGTTCAGTCCCAAACGCCTATAGTGTCAAGGTGAGAAATCCTGATATGATGGATGCATATTAAACAGATTAAAGCCAAATCCCAGCCATCCCTTCCTACTTTCCTGATAGGGTAAAGAAATACTGGGTTATATATTGTCTCCATATTGGCTCTTTTCATCCTTTTGATAAGAAGAGAGCAATGGCAATGCTTTGGTTTTATTTGGTGTATTAATTTTATACTGCTGCCATAACAAATTACCAAAACCTTGGTGACTTAAAGCAGCACGCATTTATTATCTCAAAAGTCTGAGCACAACATGGCTCAGCTGGTTCTCTGCTTAGAGTCTCACAGGGCTGAAACCGAGGTGTTGGCAGGGCTGCATTTCTTTCTAGAGGCTCTAGGGATGAAGCCATTTCCAAGCTCATTCAGGTGTTGGCAGAATTCAGTTCCACGCTTCCGTAGGACTGAGTTCCCGGTTCTTGGCTGGCTGTCAGCCAGAGGTCGTTCTCTGCTTCTAGAGGCCACCCACATGCCTTGCCTGTGGCTCTCTTCCTGCATCTTCAAGGCCAGCTGCAGTAGCCTTCTCACACTACAGATCTCTCTGAGCTGCTTCTGCCTCATCCCTCCCCCTCATCTCCCCTCTGCCTCCCTCTTCCATTGAATCTCTCCCACCAACTCTTCTGCTGCTAAGGTCTCATGGGAACTGGACCCACCAGATAACCCAGGATAATCTCCCTATTTTAAGGTCCACTGATTTGCAACCTTAATTTCATCTGGAATGAAAAATAATTTCAAGCCCTTCAAGCAGCACCTAGGTTAGTATATGATGGGATAACCAGGGATGAGGCTCTTGGGGGACATCTTTGTACCCAAATACTGCCTGCCACATCTGGTATCACTGAGGGTCCACATGTCACCTAATCCGTGCCCCGCCTTCCAAGAAGGGCTTCTGCAGATGGCCTGACTCCCATGTGTTTGCCAAGACCAGCCAGGTGGCTCCAGTCCTCGCTGGGCTGGGCTGAGGGCAAGGTCTGGAGTTTACAGTCACAGCCAGAGCTAGTCCCAGCATGGCCTGTGCAGCAGGTTCTTGCCTTTGGTACTTGTCCTGGTCTCTGAGAGTCTTATTTTTGCTAACTGTCCCACCCAGCAACACTTCACTCCGGGGTCTTGTTGGGGGAGCCAGAGCCTGAAGCCCACAGGTGACTGACTTTCCCAGCCTCTGAGAGGCAGGTCAGGAGCAGAGAGCGGCTGTTCTCTCGTTTTCCCCTGCCTTGCACTTAAACTTCAGTCCTTCTGGATCTCCATGTCACACAGCAGGAAGCTGTCAGAATGCCACATGTGGCTCACTGTGGTGGCAGGGACTCCAGGCTGTGCAGACAGGAGCATGTGAAACGCAGCAGGGTCTGAGACAGGATCTTAGTGCTTGGTGTCCCCTTACCTGCCGGGAGGGGCCACACGAGGTTGGGGGGAGGGGCACAAAGGGACTGGGCAGGGCAAGGCCAGGCGATTCTTGACATTATCAAGACATTGGTTCTTTGCATGAGTTGTTTTGATCCATTTCGTTGGGTTGTGCTTGTTGCCTCTGACTTCACGGTAAACTGTGGGAGAGATTCTTTTCCAATTCAGCCTGAGTTCCTACAAGGTCACTGGAACAAGACACACCTGCTCCCTGAAGAAGCAGGTCTAGGAGACTGGCCAGGGTCACATGGGGACAGGCTCACAGGAGGCTAGGTGGACAGAGGCTCTAGCTTGGTCCCAATCCCACCTACACTGCGTGTCTTTGCCCCAAATCGGCACAGAGGAGCTCTCGGTGGCTTGTATCTGCTCTTATCACTGTGATTGTGGCTCTTTTAATGGTACCTTAGCATTTGTTCTCTCCAAGAAGGAGGGAGGAGTGGGGTATGAACCCTGGTACCTAAGCCATAGCCCTGAGGAAGTGGGAAAGGGTCTGTCAGTGCAAATGAGGAAACGCTCCTGTTTAAACCCAGCCCCAGCCGGCTTCCAGGGCTTCCAGGATGCACCTGGGAGCCTGTGAAGCCAGGAACTGTGGAGGTTGGGCAAGTGTTGAGCTTGGACAAAATGGGAGAATCCAGGTCTGAGTGGGTCTGTTTCCTGCTGAGATGGTGGAGGATGTGACAGAGGGTCAGAGTAGAGCCCACGAGAAACCTGACCAGCTGGGATGGGGCCCATCTAGGGTTCTATGTCCACTACAAAATACAGCATTTTGTGGGAAAGAGGGAAGTTGCTGGGTTTGGGGCCTTGACTGATGTGTGGTGAGTCCCCTGAATTTAAAGCCTGAGGCAGAGAGGAGCATAGGGAAGCAGGCCTGGGAACTCAGGGACATCCACGGGCTGGAAGAGTGGGCTGAGTCGGGTCTGGGCTGCAGAGCTCATTGTGGAGCGGGCCCTGTGACCTGGCCCCCTCCACTGCCCACACCTCTACTAGCCAGATCATTGCAGCCTCATGCCCACCCACTCACCACTCCCCTGCGACCAGAGGCCCCCTCCTGGGTGAGCCTGTGCTGATGTGTCCGTCCCCAGAGCACTCATAGCGACGGGCCGCCCACAGCCCTCTGCTCACTCTGCTGCCAGCATCTTCCTCGTCACACGGCTCTGTAATTATTCTTGAGTCTTCCTGTGATGCCTTTAAAGGCAGGGACAGGCTGGAATTTATTCTT